TTGCTTTGGGTCAGAAACTTGTCAGCATGAGTTTTATTGTGAAAGTATTCTATCTAGACAGTAGATACACATTGTGCAATTTTTGCCAGAAATAGCTTTCTCTCTCATTTCATTTACTGTCTACATCCTTGATGGTTCTGTGCCAATGGTTTACAGGCTGGTTCAGCCCGGTTCAGTGACCAGCGGGGCGGAGGGATCCACGCCTCCAAGAAAGGGTAACAGGAGACCCCAAAATAATTGAAAACAGCAGCAACGATCTGAGGTGGAGCAAACTAATTTACTAAATATACTGTCAGCAAAATATAATGAGACAGAGAGTGTGTCTGAAAGGTGGATAGGCCTCACCGCAACGCTGAGATGAGAAGTGCAGTCCAGTTGAGCAGGCGGAGAAGAGCAGGTGAAGAAGAGAGCATCAGGTGACCTTGCCGGGAGTTATATCTCCTTGCTGACTGCAGAGCCCCCTGGGGAAATGTTGTTCTTCTCCTTCGGACAGGCACTCGGAGCTTGAGCATCAGCAGTCAAAGCCCCAGTGCATTACATGATGTTATGGTGTGGAATACTGATAACCAAAATCATAAAACCATGACGTTCTGTCTTCAGTGGTTTTCAGAACTACTATAGCACTTGTGTAAATAATAGATTCAGAAGTGTCTTTTAAGCTCACAGCATCTTCTGTAAGGACTTCTCAGTTTTTCTGTTGAGTTCTGAGTATTCTATGAATACGTTTGCAGTATTTTTCTTATACTACACCACTTGGTTTTGCAGACTTAAACATTTTTATCCCAACATAAATATTTCCTGGCAATTCAGGTGTTTGCTATATTTGAAAGGAGAGCATTGTATGCATGCAGGTAGCTGTACGATGAAATGGATTTTAACATAAAGAGTAACAGGGCACCTGTTATTTTGAATAGTGACTTCAGCAAGAATTCTTGCAGTATTATTCCTGTTAACTTTAGGACTGATAGCCACTATGCATGTGTCTGGAGTTCTTTGGAAACTGGCTTTCGTAGAAGACCTAATATCCTTTGGGGAGATGCTCTTCTGTGCTTTTTCTGATCTTGGAGATGCGTATGCACATAGCTTCCACATGTGTATACTTAAACATCCACCTGCTCATGTGCACAGGTAAATAATTCTTAGCATCACCAAGTGTAACGCACTGTGTGCATCTCTGAAATGCTGTGTATTAAAAACAGTTCATGTTAAGTCTTATATGAAAACATACAATTTCTTGCCACAACTCATGAACCGTGCTTGAAACTGGAATATCATTGCTGTTTTCAGTTGGACCTGTGAATTGTTCTACTGATTTTTAGAACTATTATGGCACCATCTGCTGACCAATATAAAGACTGGCAATGAGGGTTTTCCACACCTGGCTACCGCACTGAAAATGAGCTGACAGTATTGAATTAAGAGGCAGTTTGGGTGGAATCATAAGGCTAAAGGTTGATTTTTTTTTTTTTTTTTTTTTTTCAGTTGGCTCATGTTTCTAAGAAGTATTTTCAGCAGGAGATATCATTACAGAGGCTAAATCATAACATAGTTTTAATTGTCTAATCACCAGGGCTATTACAGAAAGTTTTTCTGTAAACTGTTAAGCTTTCAAATTATTTCTTTTTTTTTTTTTGTCTGTAAGATAGAGGGTTGTTCTTATTATTCTGCCCATCAGTACTTTATCTTCTAGGCTTACAAAGGAAAGAATTAACAGCTTAAGATCAGTTTAGCCCCAGTACTCTAGTGGTCTTGTTGTGGCATAGGAAATGTTTGACTCAAAGAACTCAGAGTTCTGTGTCATGGGACTGTTGCTGAGACAAAAAAGTAGAATCTGCAGCAGCCTGTCCCTTTAGTCTGTACAGTTAACCTCTTGCCACCTGCAGTATGTAAAGGCTGAGGTTTTGGCCCAATTGGTAAAAATAATCTAAATTGTTTGAAAATAAGTAGTTGGATTTCATACATGTGGGCATTTTCATGTGGCTTATTTGTTCAGAATTTGTCATGGTTCTATGTTTTTGTTTTTTGTCTTGTTTTTTTTATGGTTTCAGTATTCCACATCAAAACATCATGTAGTGTACGGGGCATTAAAGTGTCACTGCCCCAATCCCAGGTACCTATCCCTGTACATTACAGCAGTCACGGGATCTGGCCCTTCTGGGTGGGGGGGGCGCTCTCTTGCTGCCTTGCAGTGGGTGCTGGAGGGTGCTTTCCTGGCCGTTCCAAGCTTTTCAGGTTTGAATCGGTCCCGGGAACTCTCTCTCTCATCTTGTCTGATTTATTAATCTCAATTTCAATTAAATTGTATATATTGTGTTATTTTGTATTCCGATATTATAGTAAAATAAGTTTTCCTCCATAGATTGTTGCCGCTGCTCTTTTCCTCCCTTCCTTCCTTCCCATTTTTTGTGGGACTGGGGTGGGGGGGGAGGGCAGAGGCCTGTTGCCCCTGTCACGGACATAGATTGATCTGGTCAACTCCGTGACAGAACTTTAAAAAAAATTGTTCAGTAGTTCTCCATGTTCTCCATCTTTAATTCCAATATAATCAATTTCTGTGGGAGTGTTTTTAAAAATGAAGTCAATCTGAGCTTTTTAGATTCAGTAATCAAAGTACATCTGTTTATATGTACAGTCTTCTATATGTGTAAATACAGAGAGATACAGATTTCAACAGGATAACTGTTTGGTTGCTTTTTTTTTTTTTATTTACTACAGGTGAGTGCTTTATTGGAAGCTGCATAGCATAAATGCTATATGATGTAATTAAAAAGATTTTAGGGATATTTTTGCTTTCCTAAGGATCATAGAATTAAACAATGAAATGGCATTCTCTGGTTCCTGATTTCTTTGAGTTCAAAGAATTCTTTTAATTTTTACAATTATTGTTAAACTATGCTAACAGTGACTGAAAGTGTATCATCTCCTGAGATTGTCTCTTGTTCTTCAGACCTCAGTAATCTTTCCACTTGACTGGCTGCCTAAGATTCTACTTTCCCTTCTTGCTGCAAGACTCTTAAGCTCATTCATATTGGTTATTTCAAAATAAAGTATATATTTAACGTTACCTTGTGGTACGAAGGTGGTATGTTAGGGAGAAATCTGCATCTTATGTGGCTTTATGATTAAAGAGGGGAAAGTACTTAGTACAGTTGTGTTATTTAGTAAGAGCAAATGCAAGTTCACAATGCCTCTTTGGGAACAGGAGGGAAGAAAAGATGCAGTTGATGTTCAGACAGGTGAATTTTGAGCATAAATGGGTTCATTTTTTTCAGATCGTACTTCTGAGAGAAATGCTGTCTGGCTCTTATCTCTGTTTTCTCCAGATACATTGTTAGCCATTAAGAAACAGGGCTAGATGTGATCTTGCAAGTTCTTCCCTCTCAGAACAGGGAGGGTATGAAGAATAAGCAGTTACTAAATAGTGGTTGCTTGCACTGTTTGATTGTAGCAAAGGTAACATCAGAGGTTTCGCAACCTGCAGCACTAGACTTCAGTTGCAGATCTTCAGAATTCTTGGAAAAACATTTTAGCTATTTTCTTAAAAGAAATTTCACCATTCTTAATCAGAAATGCACAGAGAAGAAAAATAATAATCACCATGTCTACTAACAATGAAACCTCCGATTTGACTTCTGTAAGCACAGTGGTTTATTCTATGACTTTTTTTCTTTCAGGAAAGTTGCTTTGTTTTATATTTGGAAAATAATAAATTTGGAAAACTAATTATGTACAAGCTTATTATATGATCAAGATTGATACCTGTCAGTTTTCTATAAGATCTGAAGGTATAAGCAAAACGTAATTTGGCTAGTACCGACTTTGGAACTAGCATACCAATATGTAGTTTTAAATAGCAAATCCTTTGATCTCTACGGCTAATCAAATGGAAATTTACCTTTTAGAGACCTGTTACCGCTGAGAAATAATAGGGTGCGTAAATATTAAAACTTTAATGCTATTTATAAGCTCTGTTACAATAAAAGATGAAATGTTTCATAATAAGTAAAGGAAACAGCTGTGTAACTGATACTAACACTTGAATTATATTCAGAAGTCTCTATCGTAGCAGTAGAGATACTAAATTTCTTTTGATTTTCCTAATGGTGATTATTTTTGTTTTAGATATTGAAGCTGATTAAAGTAATGAATAAGAAAATACTTTTTCCATATAGTTAAACTTCTGGTCTTGAGATGCTTGCTTTGTATGAATCTGCCTGTGGATAGTTCAGAGCTCCTATCTCTAAGCTTCCTAGTGCAGTAACCATCAGGTTTGCTTCCTTTGACTAAATGTTGCCCATCTCGTCTGCCAAAAGGGCTTCTCTTAGGTATGTTCAGGCATCTATTAACTTCTGTATCTTTCATTAAGGGTGGTCTGAATTAGACTTCATTTTTGACTACTTATGAATGTTTGAATGTTCTTTAGGAGTCTGGAGGTACTGTGTCTGCTTTCTTGTGATCTTACTGGTTTCTAATTGGCTTCCATTGCAATTTGTAGTTGTCTCCTCACTAGTAGCCAGTATTTATGGAAGTTGATTTTAATGCAGAGAATTCAAGTTATAAATATGATTGTAACTAATTTGCTAACTCTCAGACAAATGAACAGAACATTAATTTTGAAAGAATAGTTTGAAGAAGGTTGTGAATCAGTCAATGATTTCTAATAGGATCTAGTTATTTTGATCTGATCTTGTTAGGTCCTTTGGGGCTTATTTTTGTTGGTTTACTTCAAAAAATTAGAGGGAAAAAATGATCATGTTACACTTTCAGAGTAGCAAAGCAGCAAAATCTAGTACTACGCACCAAGGGACAAGAGTGTTGATTTTAGCTGATTTTTGGAGAAATAACAAATGTTAATAATAAAGATTATTTTTATGTTCTATTACAGTATTGTTTTCAATTTCATCTGTTGGCAGACTATTGCTACAAATTACTGTAAGTCAGTAAAAGTAGTGATGCTACATAATGCTATTTTTATTGTTGCACTTTTACTTGTTTTTTAGTGTAAGCTGTGACAATGACAACTGAAGTTGGCTCAGAGACTGAAGTAAAGAAAGATTCTGAGCAGGTGGGACCAGACAAAGCCAAAGGCAAGCCTGAAGAAGCCTCAGAGACTCCAGGAAATGATAAGTCCAGGAAAGCATCCTCTGAAGAAACTCAAGATTCACCAGTCCCAGCACCAACTAGCCCTACTAGCCCAAGGAGCCAGAAAAAGGAAAAAGATTCATCTGAAAGCAAGGGTATTTCTCGCTTCCTTCCTCCCTGGCTTAAGAAACAAAAATCCTATACATTGGCAGAGCCCAAAGATGAGGCCAAGAAAAGAGTAACAGGGGAAGAACAAGTAGCTGAAGAAAGCGAAAGCCATCCATCCGAGGGGATGGCTCAACCAAAAAGGAGCTTAGAAATAGTGGCTGAAAATAATGCTAAAGGAGATGACAAAGAAGAAAAACACTCTGTTAGTAGTGCAGAAACACAGGTAAGTGTGTATGAATGTTTTGGAGCAATTCTGAGGGGGTGGGGAGCTGATGTATATAAGCCGTGTATACATATGTATATAAGCCATGTAAGACTTTGTTGGTATCACATAAGGAAAAAATGGCAGTTACAGTCACTTTGTGAAATTGGGTTGATATGAGTAAGCTCTTCAGCACAATAGTTACTTATTTGTCTCAAGCTGCTTTAGCTGTAACTTTAGCGTAATATCATCCTTTGGCATAGTCCAAAGGGATATGAACTGACTGTTACAGTAGCAATGAGAAGGGATAAGAGGAGAAGCTTCTTAACCAGATTTGCCTTGGAAGCCTTTGTATTGCACAAATAGCTCCTTAGTGAATTAACTCCATTTGTTATCTGTTGTAATTATCAAAGAGTCCTTAGATGTCAATCTTTTGTTATACTTAACCTTAAACCATGCTTGTAGCTATTGCTCTTACTGATTGGCTCTAGGAATCTGGTACTGAGTTTGAAAGCAAGCACCATATTCTGCAGTGTTTCTGAGTCCTGATGTACACAAGTTGTGTTTCAGTTCTTAAACCTCAAACCTCACATTCTCTAGGGCCACAGTGGTGATTAAGGACATAAAGAATCCTTCATAGGAGGGGATGCTGAAAGAGCTGGAATGCTTCAGCATTGCAAAGGAGAAGAGTAGGGGAAATCAATGTATCTGAAGGGAGGAAATGAAGGGTCAAGACTCTTCTCTGTGGTATGCAGAGAAATGACAAGAGGCAATAGGTGCAAATTAGCTGTAGTGGTGGTCTGTCAGTGAAAATACTGAAAACCTACCTGGAAACAGTCCTGGGCAAACTGCTGTAGCTCACTCTGCTTGAGCAGGAAGATTGGACTAGATCACAAGTTACTTTCAACCTGGAGTTTAAAAAGAAACTTTTTTAGTTTAAAAGAAACAAAAAACCCTAGTGTATTAAAAAAGGAAAAAAGGCACATTCTATGATTTCAGAACAAGAGCAGAAAACCTTTTTTCAGTGTCTGCCCCCCAAATAGACCTCAATGCTTACTCAGGTTGTGGTTCTTCCAATATATGCATAAATTTTATTAAAGCTTAATTTCCAAATTAGTGGCTTCTAAAAGAAATGAACAGGATAAAAAAAGGTCGTCTTTCATGAGCTTGAATTATCACAGAATTGTTTAACTGTATTTTATATAGCCTGCCAAAGAAGATGGGAAAGAAGTTGAAGTAGAAAAGGTTGCAGAAGAAAAAGAAGAGAAGGAAAAAAGGGAGACAAAAGAAGTGCAGACAGCTGAAAGTATTCCCCAGAAGCCTCCTAAGAAAATTAAAACCGTGCAGTGTAAAGTGGTGCTCCTGGATGGCACAGAATACAGCTGTGATCTAGAGGTGAGGTATTAAGTCTTTTATATAGAGCTCTCTTTCTTTATAGAGGAAAAGAAAATGCTTTCATTTCATTCTGAGTTTAGCAAGTATATTTTTGTGTGTCTGATTAGCACATTACAAGGTTGCATTCCTGTTGCTGTCACTAAGGCTCAGTTACCTGTTCCTTTTTGAACTTAATCTCTATTTTGTCATTAAAAAATGTACAATGTGTTATACTAGGAAAGATAAAGTGCAATTAATAAAACAATTTGAGCTGCCCAGAGATCACCTCTGAGCAGTTGTTTTCTGTTGTATTTGTGTTTTGCAAAGGTTGAAGGTTTTCCACAATGTGATGCCACATGTATTAGTAAAGTTGCCTTGAGTTCATTAGTTTCAATTAAAATAATAATCTCAGCTGGATATATATATTAAAAAAATTTGCTTCAAAAGAGAATTCTGTTATAAGTTTAAAATATATGCTTTTTTATTTAAAATTTTTCTAGTACCAAATCTTCACAGCTGCATGGACTACTTACAAATATAAATTGCTGGATTAGATGTTGTGTACATTTGTCTGTTAAATCTGACTGAAGATCACTGAAAGAAAGAGTAAGCTTACTGGAAAACAGCTTCTTGCTTTTTATAGCTTTGACATCCTCTGAATATTCTTCCAGTCCGATCATAGTGTGCGAACTTTTAAGTCCAACAGAAGTTGTTTAATATTTTAGATCGAAGTTTAATTGCGAAACATAAAATTATATGAAAGGAAGAACAAAGTTACATTCCAAATTTTCTGTCAGTGAGATAATTTGAAGTGTATACTTTCAAATTTAACAGACCTTAGAATTTTAGAGATAAAAATGGCTATCTGTGACTGGGTTCAGAGGATGTGAATTCAGAAAATAATTTTTTCCCCTCAGTGCATGACTAAGATTGCAGATGCTTGATCTGTTTATTTCCTCTTTGCTCTGTGTATTTAGTTTTACTGTTCTTCATTCTACGCTATGATTATTTAGAATGCCTCAAATCAGTCACTTTTTCCCTTTTGTTTCTTTCCACTCAGTACTCATTTTGGTCTGCAATGCCAGAGTCCAGTCAAATTTTCTTCATTTTATCACTGTTTTATTGCTGCCTTACCATAACTAGCTGTTAGTCTTACTCTTTAAAAAACAGCTTTCACGTGTGCTTTGGTGATTGATAACATGACAGTGCTGTTCTGTTTACCTTTCTTTACTTTAAGTGGTAAAGGAAAGGATGCAATTTATACTCATGTTGATAATTATCATATGCTCGTACTTGATTCTGTTGAATATGCCAGTTTTCTCTTTAATGCCTTGAACTTGTTTTAGTGTTGAGCAGATGTTATTAGTTTCTCACAGTTGTTGAAATATCAGCAGTGACTGTTTGAATCTCCAGATCTATAAGCAACAATACATGCATTCAAGAATTAATAGGGCAAAAACTCCTATGTATATGAAAAACAGAACTTGCAAAGGCAGAGGGAATGACAAAGATTTTAAGAGCAAATCTTCTCTGGAGCAAGTTGTTGTGTTCACCTCCCACTTTCTTCTTCACGGTGACTTAAGGACAATGGATAGAATGATCAACAGGATAGTAGATGCACTCCTAATATTTCTAAGGGGGAATTCCTCCGTAGAATTTATAGTAACTTGTGCCTCCTATACTAGTTAGAATAGTTCCTCTCAGTTATGTTCTTTGAGAGTTTCCTTAGGTTGTGGCTTAAAGAACGTGTTTGCTTTAAAAACACTCTGGCTTTAAGAACTGTTAAACTTTCAGTGCAGGGTGTGTGTGTGTTTATTGTTTTCTGCCTGAAGGGATGGAAATTCACGCTTAAATTTCTGTACAGAAATAGCTACTTTTGAAGCAGGCAACAACTATTACGAACATGTTCCCAGAGCAAACAATGTTTTTATTCAGAAAAATTCATCAGTAAGTCTGTAGTTCATATTTGGTGCAGCAATGCTCATGGCTAAGTCTAGTAGGTTTTCCAACTTTTCCAGCTTGTTCCTTACTTCTTCACTTTATTAGTGGGCAAATTATGGATGCTATTGATGGTTTGATGTAAGGGGCAGATTCAAACTAAAATGCTTGTTTTTACACTAACATTAGATGCTGTAAAATGTGTTTGTATGTGACTGAAAGATTCCATGACTTCAAAAAGTGGTTATATATATATTAAGAGGAAATATCTGTACAGGGATGTTAATCAGAAATACATCTTGGGTTCAGAAGCCTAGAGCTGAGGATTCTAGAGATTTAGAGACTATGTAACTATTTCTACATGTGATACCTATTATCCTATATTAGCTGTGGGGTACTGGTCTAGACAGACCTTTTAAGTTTGAGATTCTTTTATTTTAGTAAGTTCTGCTTGAGTAAGGTAGCAAGTAGGTCTGATCAGCGGATTCCTTCAGGCTAGTGCTGTCTCCCTGAAGATAGCAGTTGCTTTAGTGGAAAGGCTTGGAAGGCTGTTTTCTGACAAACAGGACTCTAGCTATTTTCTGCAGTTTCTGTATGCAAAGCTACTTGAAATCTGTGGAAGAGAACTAATCCTCCATCTTTGATTAGTTTTGGTAAGACTCAGGGTTCTTGGGAAATCAAGCAGGCTTTTTTGGTAAAATCAAACCAACCTCCAAATGCATTAAAGATGGGCAACTCTCCTCTCCGGTAGGACCGACTGCAGGTAATGTGTGAACTGCATGGCCCATGCCATGCAGCTGGAACTGTGGATACAGTATTCATCTCTTAAATAGATGCAAATTAACCAGTACTCTTCTTCACAAATATAATGGAGTTGTTTCCATGTAAAACAATGCCTGCAATTCACTGGGATGTTAGTTTGAAGCAGGAGTGACTATATTGAAGCTCTTAACTACTCACAATTTGCGTATAGGTTGAGCATGCTAGAGCCATGCTCATAGGGTGGCTTTTGTATAATCTGCAGCTAGAGGAGTTAGTAAGATCATCAGTCACTGCCAGTTATGTTGGAAGATGCATGCATCCTTAACCTGAAATTAACTGGTGGCAGGTTGGTACAATACCCCAGGAGGTCAATCCTACGAATAGGTCTGGGAACACTTCTCTTGTTGTCTTTGCAGGTGTACGGTTTGTCCCCTGCGCTGTATAAATAGCTCACAGGCTTATCCCTGGCCTAATCAATTAAAATTAATGTAATAAAAGCATGAAGAAATTAAATGATTTTAATGTACTTGACCGTTGTTTTGAGTTTGAGCAAATCTGTGTTATAGTAGGGCAAGTGTTGGGCAAGATGATGCTGGGTTAATTTTCTTCACAGGAGGTTCCAAACTTGATTTGGCTTACTGTGGTGTCTTGTTCCAGAATGTCCACCTGTCTATTTTCAATTCCTCTACCTTTTTGTTCTGGGTCTGTGTTTGCAGGGTTGATCTCCCTTAGTTTAGCCTACATCTGCTAGCCTTTTGCTTTCTTTTCTGCTGCATCACATTCCAAAGTCTTCAGTCAGCTTCTATATGATGGTTTTGTGGGTCTCTTTGAACTGTGCAGTCAAAAGCTACATCCTTTCCCCTGTATCCTCCCTTTTCATTAGGTTTCTTTGTAGTTTAATTACATACTGTGTAGGGTTTTATAATTTTATAATATACTGCTGTTATATTTTCTAATAAAATACTGCATAGATGCTATTCAGCTGTCTCTTTGGATCTTTTGAAACTAAGAGGAAACTGGAGAAACATCTGTTTTTAAGACTTTTCATCATGGCTTAGTTTTATTTTATTTCTTAGTATGTTTTTCTTCAAACCTCTTCTCCAATAAAATTTACGTACCAGCTCAAGTGCATATTCATTGTCTGACAGTATGAAGTGCTCTCTGGACTGTTTGTCTGTAGTTTGTAGATACTTTGGTTTTAGTTAGTGATAGTGCAAGCTTGCTTAAGTAATATTTATCAGGTAAGACCTATTCTTCCTACTCCTGATGCTAAAATCAAACAATTTCAGTCTATTTCTGAAGTAAAATTTTTCAGCTGTCAGTGGATCTCTCCCTAATAGTGTAATATGTACACTACTTCAACATAAGCCAAGTTCAACTGTGGAAAAGCTGTACTAAGGCCATCACTGATGTTAGTTATCAACCTGATTTTTGTGCTTTGTCAGCAGAAGAAAGTTTTATTGCAATAGAGCATGAACATGAAAAATACTCTACAAAATAATTGCTCTCTAGGAAAAAATTGTGTAGGGCTATGCATACTTATATTCTGAAATAGCATGTTTTATTTGTGAAGGATTTTTGAAATCTCTTTTACCAAGCACCTGTCACCCACCCAGCACAATTTGGGTGAATTTCAAGGGTTAAAATAAGAGATGTGTCATTTGCTGAGGCAAAAATCCGATGTGTCTATGACAATAACTAGTAGACAACAGCAGTATCTAGCTTGTGGTGTCTTGCCAGCTCTTCCGTTCGTTGGTTTTGCAGCTGAGCAGCAATTTGTGAAAGTGTGGGGGATTTGGTTTTATTATGGAGTTTCGTATCAGGCATACGTTATGACAGATGTTGAAACTTATTTCTATTTACAGAGTCACAATAGGGCTGTTCTTTAAGTCCTTATCAAATAACCAAATGTTCATGCTTATCAGCATTAATGTGGAAATGTTAACGCTACATTACGTTCAAGTGACAGGCAGTCATAGAAGTAGATTTTGCACAATGGAGTCATGTAGCACGTCACTCAAAATTTTTGTAGAATCTTCAGAAATGAGTTGAATGTTGGGAGCAAATATTTGTATGGAAATCTATGAAATCTACGTACCATCGGAATTAAAAAATTGATGGTATAAATTACAATTCACTTAGTTAAATCAGTAAAGAAAAAAATGGTTTTACATTTTATTCTGTTTTCTTTGAACGTATTAGGTAATATGCAAACTTAGCCTTTATGGAGCGAATAGAATTGTGATTTATTACATTATAAAATCTTGTTAAAATTAAGTTGGTGTAACTTCTGCATAAGATAGTTTTCTCTTGAAATCTGT